AGCTTGAACCTGAGGCTTTTACTACAGTTAGTGGTAACTGAACCAACTGCTTCTCGTGCAAGACTGGAACTGCAGTTTACCCTTAATCTGTAAAGGTTCCCAGGTATAGGTTCTCAGTCTAGCTGAGGTCTTATGCAAACTTAAGGGCTGGAGTCCAGAGTGAATTTTGTTAAAGACTGGTTCTACAATCATTGATACAGCCGCACCAGTATCAACCTCCATTAGAACCAGGTGACCATTTAACCAGATGATTACTTTGGTTAAGATTTGAATGTTGCTAAGCAATTTAACTGTTCCAAGCCCGATGTAGGTGGGCTTTCCAGGGTGCCCACTCTCCTGGATACTGGCCAATGAGTTCTGTTATTTAGTTCAGGCCTAGTGGGATTCTCGCTGTATCAGGTCCGCACACTGGCAGCAAGTACAATGGCTTGCTGGCCTGGATCTTGAAGAAAATTTTAAACCCTTTGGCCGAGGCTTGTCTGTGTTTTGGGATTTTGCTGTGGGCTGACCTAGAGTCCCTCTGTTCAGGATATGTCCTGAGTCAGGTTATGCAATTGCCTTCACTCAGGTGGTGTCCCCCAAAGCCCTTTTGGATTGGCGAGGATGTCCACTTCTGCAGCATATATGCAACTCATGCTACTCTTGCTGCAATTTCTAATGACAAAGCCAGTTGTAGTACCTGTTTGAAGTCCATTGGGCTTCAGCTAGTATGCACCTTTGCATGGTTGCGTTATTAAGTCTCACATACCAAGCTGTCTCTCAGCATGTCATTAAGGAGTAAACCAAAGTTACATGCCTCTGCCAGTCATCTTAACCTCATCAAAAATCCTGACATGGATTCCCTTTAAACTGCCAAGTAAAACCAATAGGGGCTCAGAATTAGAGGAGGCTTGGGGGTCATAATATTCCTTAACTAAATCCATAAACTATTGAAAAGTTTTAGTATCTGGTGCCTCAGGAAACTTTAGGCTCCTAATACCAAAAAAAGCTGCAGGTCCACAAGTTATCAGAAGAATTACTTGTTGCTTTTCATCTGCCCAGGAAAAAATAACAAACAATCTTCCACATACTTGGCCCTGTCTTTTAAGGCAGGATCAAAAGAGTCAAGCTTCCCAAATAACGGCATGATGCCCAAAATGCTCATCCCAATTCAAAGACGACTGTTGCAAGTGAATTTCTTCAGGAGCATATATTTTTTTTCCTCATTACCACTGAAGTAACTCCACAGAGGCCAGTATCCCATCACCAAGGCACCCTTTATTTACACATGCATAGTACTCAATACTAGTTTCCTCAGAGCCAGCTCTCAGAATGAGCAGAACCTCTGACATTCCTGTTTATATCTGTCAGTGAGGGCCCCTGTTTGGACCAAATTAACAGCCCCAATCAGGAAACTTATATTCTATGACGTCCACCTGGCTGACCTTGTTATAATCACTACACATTGAATGTCCCCTAGAAGTCTGTCAAGTACACAAACCATGGAGAGAATTAGTATGTAGTGCTGTCTTGACACCACTGGTGTAGCTCAGCAGTTCAAGCTCCCTCAGCTCAGAATATTCCGAAGAAGAGTCACTGAACTTGAAACATTAACTCTCGCTTCTCTCCACTGATGTTGCTAGACCTGCTGAATTTCTTCAACAATTTCTGTTTTTGTTTCATCGTTAAAAGGTGCTAGCCACTCACAGTATTGTTCTCCTGGCTGACACAGGCAATGAACAGTGCAGCTGCACACAGTGATATTCCAAATGAGTTTGCAGAACAGATTTGGCATGCTGACTGCATTACAATCAATAGAAATGGAGTAATCATTTATGATGATTCCTGTGGTAATTTTTCAGAACTCAATTAATTTAGCCTCTCTAGATTTTGGCTGAGGATTGATATAAATCTGCCTGCTGACCATTTTGGTTAGTTTTTCCAGAAAACATTTGATAATGCAAATTTCTCTTTACTGTATGTTTCAATGCAAAGCATTTTTTGAATAATTTAGAATTACCTGTTTTCTATTTTCCACAACGGAAAATCATGTTTATATTGTGTGAAAATCACTCCATCAATTGCCTTGTACATCTGCCAATGTGCTTTTACAGACATTGTGCATTCTTGGCCCTTGAAATATATAAGCAAGACTACGATACTTTTTTACAAGTGTGAAATGTCCACAGTTAGTGATGTTGCCAAAAGCACAGCTTGGTTACAATTGGGTCTATTGAGTGTTGGAGGTTTCAGCGGGTGTAGTGTTGGTTTGTAATCAAACTGTATCCGCCAGTGTAACAAGGGAAACATGAATTAGAAGTATTGTTCAGTGTTTTAGTCACATTATAGGTTGAGCTATTTATGCAGAATGTTTTATGGTGCAATGTGGCCATTGACAAAATAATTACATCACAACACAGTAGAAGAGGGTTTCCAGTAGTTTCCTTCACAGTAAATTCATAGTCTGTTGTGGGTTGATTTTCAATGAAAGACTGTTCTTGCACATATTATTGATATCTTCTTCTGCTGGCAGAGATGTGAGAACGTGTCATTACCAAACTTCTTTGAGCATTGATGTGAGAATATCTAATGAGGAGATTTAAAATAAAAGATCAAGGGTGGCACGGTGGCTCATTGGTTAGCATTACTACCTCACTGCTGCCTCACAGTGCTAGAGACCAGGGTTCGATTCCAGCCTCAGGTGACTGTCTGTGCAGAGTTTGCACATTCTCTCCCTGGGTCTGTGTGGGTTTCCTCCAGGTGCTCCGGTTTCCTCCCACAGTCCAAAGATGTGCAGGCTGGGTGGATTAGCCATGGGAAATGCAGGGTTACAGGGATATGGTAGGGAGGTGGCCCTTGGGGGGAATGCTCTTTGGAGCAGTGTGGACTCAATGGACCAAATGGCCTGCTTCCACTGTAAAGATTCTATGTACTCAGTTAAAATGAAAGAACAACAGCATTTCCATTAACTAATTCAGTACAGAAGGAAGTCATTCAGCCCATCATGACATTTTTTGGAGCAGAAAGACTTAAAAAGGAATCAAAGTTTCTAATTGCTGACTGCTATATAACTTGATGCATTTTCAGTTGTGTCCTTGGGTTAAAATGAACCTAATCATTTAATAATTTGAGAGTAACTGCATTATCTAATCATTAACCTATTTTTATTATGAGGTCAGAATCTGTAGCTTAGAAAATTGCTAATATTTCGCACTGTTATCAGAATTCCTTAATATTCCTGTTGGATTTATGAATCTTAAATTACCTGTCCGGCATTTGATGACTAGATTGTTTGAAAGGAAGGAAACTATTGCTCTATTTTAATCAGTGTCTAGTTTTTCAAAGGCATGAAGGATTGTAGTTCATGCAAAAATAAATTTTCTCTCATTGGGAATTCAAAACTCAAGGCTTACGTCAAGGTGTAAATATCTTTTTAAGTTTTTCTGCATTTTGGTCTAATGTTTTGTGCTTTTTTAAAAATCTTTTTATTCTGAATAATTTGACCCCTGGTTTATAGATTAATCATAAAAGTGAAACTTCATTCTTTTTGTCTTAAGTTTATCTCTATTCACTCTAAAGAAAACATTTCTGTATATCACTTTAGCGACTGAATCTATCTTGCAGCTCCATGGGTGTTTAATTCTTCTGTTGAAAAATGGTGAAGTGTCACACCATTAGATTTCAACTATCATTTGAATTTATCAAACAATAGGAGAGCAATTAAATGAGCAGCATTTACCAATTGTTGATATGCAAATCAACTTCAAGAGCAACACCTGGTCACACTGAAGTGAAAAGCAGTTCCTTGATATGTATTGTACTTTTTTATAGTCTTTCTAATTGATGGATAAAAAGGTTTAACCTTCTTTTACAAAGATTCCACATATGTTGACTGAGTGGAATTGGTTGAACTGTTTAACTCATAAAATTTCTCCTGAAACCAACTGCTGTAATTTCTTGAGTTGGAACAGCTGTGGTCAAAAGTAACTGCCAGTCATCTAAAAACTGAGCAGTGCATGGAACTTGGATGGTTGGGCTGCTTCCCCAAACTTTGGAGACACTTGCAACTTAGCATTGGTATGTGGGTTGTGGTGTCAGTATCACTGGAATAGTAATCCAGAGGCCTAGGCTAATGTTTTAGGGACATAGGTTCAAATCCTGTCATAACAGTTGGTGGAATTTTAAGTCAATTAATTAAGTCTTCAACTAATATTTAGTCATTAATGCTGACAATGATAATTATCATCCATTATTGTTAAAAGAAAAACATCTTTTCGCTCATCCTTTAGGGAAGGAAATCTGTCATCCTTACCTGTTCTGGCCTACATGTGACTCCAAATCACCAGCAATGTGGTTGACTCTTAACTGTTTTCTGAAATGTCACTTAGTTCAAGAGCACTTTAGGATAGGTAACAATTGCTGACCTTTCTGGCAATGTCCGTATTCTATGAATGAATAAAGAACAATATCAAGAGTTGGAGACATTCTGACTGGCTAATTCTGACCACAGCTGTTTTTAATGTGTTAACTTTCATTTTCAAGTTAAATTGGTGTCCATTAGAGCTTTGTTTCCCATGATATTTGTCAGTTACAGTGTATAAGGTACAGATAGCAGGTATACATTTCATTTGATAATGTACAGACAATGAGCAAGTGCTGCTTCAGTATGTTTGCAGTGAGCGAAAAACTGGTAGATTGCCAGTTCTAGCCTTACATATTTGATGATCATTGAGCATTGCTGACATCATCACCTGATGAAGGAATACCTACTATTGCACAACTTCTGTAAGTCCATTTACAGTGCCTGTTGGCAGAGAGGTCCAGCGTTGCATAGGAAGAGATTAACCTACAAGTAGAGAAGAAAGATCATGTCTGAAGGGGAAAAAAAGTACTCTTCCCATGCAAGTATTTTTGGATTGAATTAATACAAATCTTCCAAAAGTGACAATCAAAGAATCTAGAAATATATTAAGACTGATGTACTGTTTAAGAAGTGGATTGTTTTTTGTGTCTTTCCTCAGAGCACACAGGCAGAATGGAGTTGCTGTACAAGGGCCTGTCATTAATGGAGAGAACACAGAAAATGGGGTGTGTGATAGCGCTAAAAGTAATCAGAAACATGCATCCAGCGTGTGTTCCCATTCACCAACATTTAGTGGAATAGGCAAGTACTAACCAAGTTCATTTGGTTTACAACATATTGCCAAACGTGCTGATAATTTTCCCAATTGCTGATACTTTTCAGTACAATGATTTTCTTTGTTGAATAAAGACACATTTCATATTATCCGTACTTTAATCATGAAAATGTTCTGGAAAGTAATCCAGTCCTCTGAGAAGTAAGAGGGCATATTTTTCTTATGACCAAGTATTAAACTATTTGCGTGTTGGTTAACTTTAATGCCTTGCCCACAAAATGCATTTCTTGTTTTTCTTGTAACTGTATCTAACCATTGTACTTTGCAAAATATATTAACATAGTTGCAGAATGCTGAAGACCTGTTGCAGGAAGTGGGTTTGGATGAGCTCTGAAGGAAAATGCACCAAGGTTTTTGTTTTGATCATAAAAATGAAACTTCTGCATTGTATTAAATTTTTTTTTTTGAAGCTATAAGGCCCGTAGGTATTTACTAAAATATCATTTAGAGGCTCCTCTGATGCTGCTTGGCCCGCTGTGTTCATCCAGCTCTACACCTTGCTATCTCATATTCTCCAGCATCGGCAGTTCCTACTATCTCTGAGTCAGTTAAAGCATATAACTACATTTTAATTAAGCATGTTACAGGCTAATTTTTAAGTGGGTGTGTTAGAAACCAGTATTGATCAACTTCATGTCCACGGATTTTATTTTAATTAACAAAGTCAAAACATTTAATTTTTGACAAATATGGTTTCTTTGTGCTGACATTTTGTTTCCTTGCAAAAACGAACTGTCCTGAAAAGGCTTTTGAAGCCACGAATACTGTTACATCACTTTAATAATAGAATTTTGCCCTGCTAGGTTTCGTCTTGTGTCTGACAAGTCAGACTTTTTGGAAACAAAATACCTTGTCTGGAAATCAAGTTTAAAATCTATTTAAAAGAATAATGCACTTGCATGGTCTTTAATTTGAAGATAGCTGGGGTATAGAATCTTTAGGCAAGGTGTGGGGAGGGGTTATTGTGCTATTGGCAAGGAGTCAATCACTGCGGAGTAAGGAGGGATGATTTCTCAGAAGGTTCCTCAAATGAGGCCCTATGGGCAGAACCTAAAAAACAAACGGGGGGCAGTCATTTTGCTGGGGATGCCCTTCAGACCCCGAAAAAGTCAGGGACAGATAGAAAGACAGATACTTAGGCAAATCTCAGAGAAGTGTAAAAATAATAGAGTAATAATAGTAGCTGATTTCAACTTTCCCAATATTAACTAGGATAGACATTTGTGAAAGGCCTAGATCAGACAGAATCCTTAACATGTATCCAGGAGAACATTTTTTAAGCCATTGTGTAGGAAGTCCATCAAGATGGGGGCCAATGCTGGATTTAATTTTAGGAAACGAAGCCAGGAAAGTCGTAGATATGGCACTGGAGGAACATTTTGGTGATAGTTATGATCATAACTCAATAAGATGCAAAGTAATTAATAACAAAGATGGACCAAAAAGAAATGTCTGGTAGACTGAAGGAAGGCTGATTTTAATTAGACAGGAATGGGTCAAAATGGGTTGGAAGCAGCTATTTGCAGGAAAATCCATATCAGAGTAATGATAAAGGGTATTACTGAGAGTGCAAGACCAACACCTTCCCATAAAGGTAAAGAGTGGGACCAACAAGTTCAGAGGGCCCTGGACCTCAAGGGATGTACAAGATTGGATAAGATTAAAAGAATGAAGCGTATGGTAGGTACCAAAAACTCAATCGGTGGATGTCTTAGATAAATATAGAAAGTATTAGGGTTGCTTAAAAAAGAAATCAACAGAGTGAAGAGAGGACATGACAAAACACTGATGGGTAGCATTAAAGAAAATCCAATGACGTTTTATAAGTATATTTAAGGCAAGAGAATAATCAGGGAAATAGTACAGCCCATTATGGATCAAACTGGCAAGGTGTGTGTGGACATGGATGATATGGCTGAGATTTTAAATGGGTACTTTGCATCTGTATTCACATTTGAGAAGGACAATGTAGGTCTAGAAATCAGGAAAAATGAATGTGGTATACTTGAGCAAATTAGCATTGAGAGGGAAGAGGTACAGTTCCGTATCCTTTATCTGCACATTCAGAAGCTGAAAAGACCTAAAAACTGAAAATCTTTTCAAAAACGGACCCAAACAGACCTGTAGACACACTGATATTGGGTCCTTTAGAAGAAAAAACTTTGCTTGGCCTGAACAGACCTAAAAGCAAAACTTCTTTTTCCAAAGGCCCAAACTCAATGCGTCTGCAGGTCTGTTTAGGTTCTTTAGAAAAACACTTCATTTTTAAGTCTGGTTGTGCCAAGTGGAGTTTTTTTTTCCCATGCCTGAATGAATGGGACCTACGTGGTATGTGTAGCAACAAATGAAGACAAAGAGTAATAGATGCAAATATAATGAATTAAATGTTTACAGATACCATCAGATTTTTGATAAAGATAGTGTGAACCTAACAGACATGGGTACAATGAGTTCAGGAGTTAAATTATTATTTTGCTTTTGATTGTGAGATAATTAATAAAAGGTCTTAGAAGGTCTGAAAGCCAAAAATATCCTTCATCTGAAAATATCCTTCATCTAAAAGCAGTTGGTCCTGAAGTTTTCAATAAAGAATTCTGACCTGTTTTACTGACTTTTGCAGGTGTGAAAGTGGATAAATTCCAGGCTCAGATGGGATGCATCCAAGGCTGCAGTGGGAGGCAGGAGAGGAGATTTCAGGGGCACTGACACTAATTTTTAAATCCTCCCTGGCCACAGTAGGGGTGCTGGAGGACTGGAGGATTGCCAATATGATATCATTATTCGGGAAGAATGTTACAGATGAACGAGGGTATTACAGGCTAGCGAGTTTAACTCCTATGGTGGGGAAACTATTGGAAAACATTCTGAGGGACAGAATTAATCTCCACTTGGAAAGGCAAGATTATTTAAAGGTATTCAACGTGGCTTTGTCAGGGAGATCTTATCTAACAAATTTGATCAAATATTTTGAGGAGATGACATGTGTAGGTGAGGACAGTGCATTTGATGTAGTATATGTAGACTTTATTTAGCCATTTGACAAGGTCTTGCATGGCAGACTGGTTAAAAAGTTAAGAGCCCTGTGTTTCAGGGCAATTTGTCAAATAGGTCCAAAATTGGCTTACTGGCAGAAAACAGAGGGTGATGATTGAAGAGTGTTTTTATGACTAAAAGCCTGTCTCCAACGGCATACCACAGATTTTGGTGCTGTTGCCTTTGCTGTTTGTGGTGCACATTAATGATATAGACATGACGTAGGAGGTATGATCAGTAAGTTCACAGATAACATGAAATTGATGGTGCGGTAAGTAGTGTGCAGGAAAGCTTTCAACAACAGGGTAATACACCTACCTTGACTCAGACTTTTCCCCCTGGTCCAATCCCTGCCCACATACATCCGTGATTCCTCTGACGCCTTACGCTGGTTTCAAAACTTCCAGTTTACCGGTTCCAGCTGCCTCTTCTTTACCATGGACATGCAATCCCTTTACACGTCCATTCCCCACCAGGAAGGTCTTAGGACGCTCCGCTTCTTCCTGGAGCAAAGACCTGAACCATCCCCAACCACCACCACCGTCCTCCGCTTGGCCGAGCTTGTCCTCACCCTCATCAACTTCTCTTTTAACTCCTCTCATTTTCCTCAGGTCAGAGGGGTGGCCATGGGTACCCGCATGGGCCCCAGTTTTGCCTGTCTCTTCATGGGGTACATGGAACATTCCTTGTTCCAGTCCTATTCCAGCCCCCACCCATAACTCTTTTCTCCGATATATTGATGATATCATTGGTGCTGCTTCCTTTTCTCATCCAGAATTGGAAAATTTCATCGATTTCCACCCTGCTCTCACTTTCACCTGGCCTATCTCTGACTCCTCCCTTCCCTTCCTTGACATCTCTGTTCCCATTTCTGGGGATAGACTAGCCACTAATATCCACTATAAGTACACTGACTCCCACAGCTACCTGGACTATACATCCTCACACCCTGCTTCCTGTAAAGACTCCATCCCATTCTCTCAGTTCCTCCGTCTCACTCGCATATGTTCAGATGAGGCCAACTTTGACAAGGGAGCCTCCGAAATGTCCATCTTCTTCCTCAACCGCGGATTCCCCAACACCGTTGTCAAGGACCCTCAACTGGGTCCGACCCATCTCCCACACTTCCACCCTCACCCCTTCTCTTCACTCCCGCAACAGTGACAGGGTTCCCCTTGTCCTTACCTGCCATCCCACCAGCATCCACATCCAGAAGATCATCAGAAGCCATTTTCACCATCTCCAATGAGATGTCATCACCAGACACATATTCCCCTCCTCTCCCTTGTCTGCCTTCCGCAGGGACCATTCTCTCCGAGACACCCTGGTCCACTCTTCCTTCACCTCCCCACAGCCCTAAGGCACCTTCCCCTGTAACCGGCGAAGGTGCAACACCTGCCATTTACCTCCTCCCTCCTCACTATCCAAGGGCCCAAACATACCTTCCAGGTGAAGCAACACTTCACCTGCACTTCCCAGAATCTAATTTACTGCATTCGCTGCTCACAATGTGGTCGTCTCTACACTGGGGAAACAAAGCGTAGACTTGGCGACCGCTTCGCAGAACATCTACATTTTGCTTGCAAAAAAGACCTCAAGCTACCCATTGCCTGCCACTTTAACACACCACCCTGTTCCCTGGCCAACATCTCTGTCTCTTGCTTGCTGCAGTGTTCCAGCGAAGCTCAACGCAAGCTGGAATAACAACACCTCATCTTCTACTTGGGGACCCTGCAGCCCTCCAGACTCAATATTGAGTTCAATAATTTTAGGGCCTAAACTCTCCCATGTCCTGGCCCCCTACCCCATTCACCAGGCCTCGTTATTACACACTACCTATTGTTTGTCACTAACAGCCCCCATTAACAATTAATCACCCTCCCAGCCAGATTGTTATCAATTCCTTTGTCGACCCAACTGCTCTTCTCTCTCTTCGGGCTGTATCCTATTGTTTACTCCCTACCCCATCCCCCTTCTTATTTTCTGCAAATAAACCAATGTTTTCCCAGCCACCATCAGTTCTGAGGAACGGTCACTGGACCCGAAACGTTAACTCTGATATTTTCTTCACAGATGCTGTCAGACCTGCTGAACTTTTCCAGCAACTTCTGTTTTTGTTCCTGATTTACAGCATCCGCAGTTCTTTCACTTTTTATTGGGTAATATAAATAGGATGGTCAGATGAGATAACAGCTGGAATTTAATCCTGAAATATGTGAGGTGATGCAGTTTGTGAGGACTAACAAGGGAATACATGTTGAATAGTTGGACCTTAGGAAGCACAGAGGATCAGAAGGGCCTTAGTGTGCATGCCTAAAGATCTTTGAAGACAGCAGGACAAATAGATGATGTCGTTAAGAAGGCTTATGAATTACTTGACTTTATTAATCAAGTCATTAAATACAAGAGCAAAGAGCTGTATATTACATTAGTAAGGCCACAGCTGGAATAGTGTGTGCTGTTCTGGTCACGACATTATAGGAAGGATGTGATTACAGTAGAGAGGATGCAGAAGAGATTCACCAGGATGTTGCCTGGGCTGGAATGTTTCAGCTAGGAACAGAGACGAAATAGGCTAGGATTATTTTCCTTAGAGCAGAGAAGGCTGAGGCGACACCTGAGGAGTAGAAACTTTTGAGTGGCGTAGATAGAGTTTTCCCCTTAGTAGAGGGGTCAATAGCCAAGGAGCATAGTTTTAAGGTAAGGTGTACGAGGTTTAGAGGGGAAACCTTTTTACCTCTATGTCTTTGGAATTCACTGCCTAAAATGGTGGTAGAGGCAGGAACCCTCAAAACTTATAAGCATCTAGATGAGCACTTGAATTGTCATAGCATACAAGGCTGTGTGCCAAGTGCTAGAAAATGGGATTAGAAAAGATGGTTGTTGGATGACTTGTATGGACACGATGGGCTAAAGGGCCTCATTCCAAAAACTCCATACAACAGCTGACTTCTTAAAGTTTGTTTAAAATTGAGCTGCTTGAGTACTTATTTTTAAATAATTTGGGCAATTTTCCTGAATCATCTCTTCATGCTACTTTTTGGGGCTATGAATTTGAATGTGCACAGTTTCGCCTTTTAATTTATTAAAATACATGAGCAAGCCAAAGGAAGTTCTTAAGTAACTGGAATTGTGTTAGTCCACAGATGATACTACTACTGTATAAACAAGGTTACGAAAATACCTGTGTTTTGAAAAACTAGTGATTATTTTTTGGAAAAGTGCTCATTCCGTGGTAAATTTTCAAGCTCATTCTTTTCATAGCGAATTGTTACTATTTATTGACGCATCAAAATCAAAGAACAAGTAACCACAGTTTTAATTATGAAAATGGTTAATCTGTTTCATTCAGTTTTGCAGGTTTTTCATAGATTAGCCTGTCGGAGGTAATGTGAGGTAAATTTTCTTGAACAGTCATCCACTGTGCTTTTGATTCCTATAATTTCAGCAAATGGAGAAACTCCTTCAAATGAAGGTGACAGCGGCAACTGGAGTAATGGGTTAAATCCTGCCACCCCACTAGCTGTGGCACTTCCCTCGGCCTCCGTTACCAGCTCATCGACCACCGGCACTGCAAGTCCCTCCATATCGTCAGCAGTTGGAGAGACGTCAGAAGCTGCTCCTATCTCGACAGAACAGTCTCAGACATTAACCCAAAACTTGGAAGCATTGCCTCCTGGGTAAGGATGTAGGAAAGTTTTTTTTTACTTAGCCAGCCTTCACACTTTACCATTCACTGGGAAATAAACAACCTGTCTATTAATAGGTTTGGTCAGTAAACGGAAAAATGTCAGCAGTCATGTTATACTTAGCCACTGGGTGATAAAAGTACTGCAGTATTACTCAGAGGATATGAGGAATTTTCACCAATTAGATGGTGAATACTGCATTGTACTGTAACAGAACAGTATGTCTCCTGAGCAAACAGTCTAAAGTAACAGTTCTTTCACTCTGTTAATTTGATCTTTCGTTGTTTTTCAGAAACTAAACTTCTGAAAAATTAATTATCAGATATGGGTTTTGCCTGCAGGGATAGGACATTGTACATTCTAGTTTCTCAGAATGGGTGTCAGTGGTTTTTCTTGAACTGCTGTTGTTGAAGGGTTTGTAAAACTAAGTGACTTGCTACGAATGCTTCAGAGAGCAGTCAAAAGTCAACCACATTGGTGTGGACTTAGAACCATCTATAAACCAGACTGGGTTAGGAAGCAGGTTTTTTTTCCGAAGGATGCTAATGAATAAGTTAGCTTTTCTTGGCAATTCAACAACTTTACGATCACTTTTATTGGTTCTCAGTTTGTATTTATAGATATAAAACATTGATCTGTAAGTATTCATCAAAATATTCTGGGGGGTGCGGGGGGAAAGAACATTTGAAGTTGACCCCACCCAATCTTGTTCTCGTTGTTGTTTCTTTGTTTGACTAGAAGGGTATGAGTTCGGGTTTCACACTTTGCAGTAGTTTGCAAAGAAGTCTTTTATAACCACACGAATAGTGAAAAAAGTGTTCAGAAGAAGTGTGAGGCTGATTCAGGATCAAAAGGAGGCTGAGGGCATGACTGAGGTTCTAAGTAAGTCCTTTGCATCTGCTTTCACTAGCGAAGACAGCAAAAATTGCGATAATTAAAAAACGTAAAAGGTTTGCAGTCCTGAAATTAGAAATGTTATTTGGAGTAGATAGAATGTATCCTAGGTAGCTGAGGGACATAAGGATGGAAACACTATAGGCTTTGGCCACAAACTTTCATTTCACCTCAGAAGGGAGCAGTGTCAGAGGACTGGGCAGTTGCAAACATTACAGATATTTTTAATCAGCCTGTTCAGAGATGTTATGACACATCTTGAGAGTAGATGGTACTTGAACCCAGACTTCTGACCCAGAGGTAGGGGCATACTACTGTGCCACAAACTATCTTTTGCAAATGTTATGTCCTTTTTCAAAAAATGGGCAAAAGGCAAATCCAGCATTACAGGCCAATCAGCTTAATGTAATGTTGGAACAACATTTTAGGAAGATTGGGAAGGTTTTAGTTCATTTAAAGCTCAATCACTTGGATGGGGTTAAAATCAGGTTTGTTAATCTCAGACAAAATTAATTGACTTTGGAAAATTTTGGCTTTATAATGAAAACCAGGAGGCAAATCATGTTTCACAAACTTGATTGAGTTCTTTAAAATATTGACAAGGGTAATGTGGTTGATAATTTGTTCATGGACTTTCAGAAAGTAGGTGCAATGTAATACACTTGACAACAAAATTGAAGTTCCTGGAATTAAAAAGATAATGACATTTTGGTATGAAATTCGTCGCCACGTAGAAAGAAAAAATGGTGGCAGTGATTCTCCCCAGGGGTCAGTGTTGAGGAACTGCTGTTTTTGATATAAGTAACCTGGACTTAGGTAAGTAGCACATAACTTGAAAGACTGCAGATGACGCAAAACTCTGAAATACAGTAAAATATATGGAAGATGTTAATAGACTTCAAGAGGAAATACTCCAGAAAAATGGCAAATGTATGGCAGATGAAATTTGACACTGTGTGAAACGATATATTTTGGTAGGAAGAGTGAGAAGAGGCAACATAAACTAAATAATACAATCTCAACAGGGCTTCAAGAACGGAGGAGCCTTTGTCTGAATGTGCACCGGTCTTAGAAGGTGCTAGAACAAATTAAGAAACTGTTAAAAGTCTATCAGATAGAGATATAGAATACAAAAGGTGGTTATTGCACTAAACCTTCATAAAACTTCAGTTAGAACCCAAGTGTAGTACTGTGGTTATTTCAGGGCACCACATTTCAGGGGGGATGTCAGGGCCTTGGAGAAGGTGCAAAGAGAATTTATGAGCATGCACACAGACTCGGGTTAAATGGAGAGACTAGAAAAACTGGGCTGTTCCCCTTAGAGCAGAGAAGGTGAAGGCAAATTTGGATTGAAGTGTTCAGAATTATGAGCGGTTCTGGTAGAATAAGTACGAAGGATTTTAAAACCATTGCAGCTTTCATTCTGTAGTTGGTCACTAGAGATTACAGATTTAAGATTTTTGGCAAAACAGCTAAGGGTGATGTATGAAAAATGTTTTTACATAGCAAATTACGATCTGGAATGCGCTGCCTGGTAGGTTGGTGGAAATAGATTCACCAAATAATTGCAAAAGAGAATAGGATAATTTCAGGTTGATAAGAAGAGGTGACAGGGAGTAATTGGATGTCTGTTTCATTGTACCTGCACAGGCCCCATTGGATTGACTGGCCTCCCTTAATGCTTTAACATTTTAGGATTCACTGAACTAATGCTGAGCCAATTAACAGGGCCACTACTTCCTGTTGATTTTTAGATGTTCTCCTATCCATCGGATGGATGACTTGCATCATTCTGAGTTATTCCATCTTGTGCTGTACAGAAAAATGTTGTATTTTGAGTATATTGAGATTGGAATTTGCATTGAAACTTTTGAACAGGGATTTTATTTTTAGAAATTATATCAAATGCTAAGTTCTTGAGTTACCAGTCCAATGTGAGATTCATTCCTGACGTGAAGTGTTGTGATCGTTCTTTAGCCTTTTGAACCCTACAATAATATTATACAAGTGAAATTCTGATTGAATATCATCTACGTACTAAGAATAAATCCTGTCTGCTTAGATGTCAGCTTTAAATTGTATATGATCATCCAGCAAGTGGAAAATTTGGCTTGGATGCATTTTTTTTGGATGCTGCAAGTGTCCTTAGGGTTTTAAAATGTGTCTGTGGTGCATGGACACACTGATGTCACAAATAATGATGTACACCATCTTGGTGCATTGTTCAGAGATATACAGAATGGTGAGAGACGCCAATCAGCATGCAATCCTGATTTGACATCAGCAGTGCTGTTTTGGAGCTCAGAATTCTCTCTCAAATATACACAACTGAACAAAGATTAGCAGCAGGAAGAACACAACACTCCCACCCACCCCAGTGGAGTTCTGTGTCTTCAGCTTCCTCCAGGCTAAAGGTGGAATCTGTCAGCAGCATCTTGCAATCCACCATCCACTGTTGCCTAAGGGAGGCTCCCTGTTCAATGCCACTTTCTTATTCAGCATGAGTGTCAAAATGCTTATCTACCTCATGTCACCAATCATCAAGATGTTCACTTGAACACAATACACAAATAAGAATCAACACAAAATAAGCAGTCCAAAACAAATTTATAAATTAAATCATGCGTTTGTGTACAGTAATATAGTAATAATCCTTTTGCATTCCCCAAATGCACTCTGTGGTGTTCCCCATGACTGGTGGGGTCCGACTCATCTCCAGTGCAGGAGCATGCAGGTACCCTGGAGGAATGATCTCAAGCAGCTTTGAGCCTTCAAGTCCCAGTGTCAAACTGTGCCACCTCGACTGTCTGATGGCAACAGTAAGGACACTGGTTCTGTAGGTGCTTTAGAAGAAGGCACAATGAAAGGTGGTAAGGAAAAGCCAAGGAACTGTAGACCGGTGAACATGATGTCAGTGATGAGTAAGTTGTTGGAGGGGATTCTGAGGGGTAGGATTTACATGCATTTGGAAAAGTAAGGATTAATCAGGCATAGTCAACATGGCTTTGTGTATGGGAAATTGTGTCTCACGAACTTGATTGAATTTTTTAAAGAGGTGACAAAGAAGAATGATGAAAGCAGAGAAGTAGATGTCTATATGGACTTCAACAAGGCATTTGCTAAGGTTCCACGTGGTAGACTGGTTAGCAAGGTTACACCACACGAAATAGAGAGAGAATTAACTATTTGGATACAGAACTGGCTCAAAGGTGGAAGACTGAGGGTGGTGGTAATGGAGGATTGCTTTTCAGACTGGAGGCCTGTGACCAGCAGTGTGCCACAAGGATCGGTGCAGGGTCCACTGCTTTTCGTCATTTGTGTAAAAGATTTGGATGTGAACATAGGAGGTATGGTTAGTAAGTTTGCAGATAGCACCAAAATTGGTGGTATAGTGGACAGTGAAGAAGATTATCTCAGTGTACAATGTGACCTTGATCAGATGGGCTGATGGGCTAAGGAGTGGCAGTTCGAGGTTAATATATGAGGTGTTGCATTTTGGTAAGGAAATCAAGGCAGAACTTGTACAGTTAATCGGAAGGCCCTGGGGAGTGTTTGCCAAACAAGGAGACTTGGGGGTGTAGATGCATAGTTCCTTGAAGATGGAGTTGCATGTTGACAGGGAGGTGAAGGAGACATTTGGCACACTTGCCTTCATTAGACAGAATATTGATTAAAGGAGTTGGGGCATCATGTTGTGGCTGTACGGGACATTGGTGAGGCCACTTCTAGAATACTGCTTTTAATTATGGGCTCCCTGCTATAGGAAAGATATTGTTAAACTTGAAAGACTTCATAAAAGATATACAAGGATGTTGTCAGGATTGAAAGGTTTGAACTATGGGGAGAGGCTGAATAGACTGGGCCTTTTTTTCCCTGGAGCATCGGAGGCTGAAGGGTGACCTTATACAAGTTTGTAAAATTATGAGGGGCATGGATAGGGTGGATAGCCAAGGCCTTTTTCCCAGGATAGGGGAGTCCAAAGCTAGAAGGATTAGGTTTCAGGTGAGAGGGGAAAGATTTAAAAGGGATCTGAGGAACAACTTTTTCATGCAGAGGGTGGTGCATGTATGTAATGTGCTACCAAAGAAGGTGTTGGA